AGGATCTCGGCTTTTTGGTTTAAGCAAAAACTTCGAACTCTTCTTTTGTACTTCATCTTTTAATTTTGGAACTTGTTGAACGTCCTTTGATGGTACCACTTGTTTAGTTGCTGTCTTCTTCTCTTGATTGTTAGGATACACTCTCTTTGGTTCTGGACAGCAAGCTTTCTTTGGCTTAGCTTTTTGATAAGACCTTGTTGCTAGAATCCATCTCCTTGGCTTGGGGTTCGAATCGATCTTCACGTAGTATTGTTTGTTGGCTTCAGCATCCTTCACAAACTCTACATTCATGATCTTCTTCATGTCTTCCCAAGAATAGGCTGGTTCATCAAAGTCAATTCTCATGTAATCTTCCCTTTCCCAATGCCTAAACGCATCCTCGGTGAGAGTTTCTTCAGCGTAAGTTGTCTTCTCGGCCTCGGGGACTTGGTTAGATCGGAACCAATTATCCATGTTTTGTTCCCACCTTATGTAGGATTTTGGTCCTTGGCTATGGCCTGAGAATGAGATGTACTGTTGTGCTGGTTCCTCCCCATCAAATTTTAATTCGACTCCAAAGTTATCTTCATTCCATGGTTCATCAAGTGGATTAGTCTCTCCTAGACTGTTTTGAGGGACGGTTTCTTCACACGACTTGTATTGGCTGGTACCGTCAAGACTACAATCTGGTGGTTCCGGCTCGAAGTCTTCACCACGTGGTTCATCTCCAAAATCAGAAACTGAGTAGTCATCTTCATACCACGCTTCTTCTACGTCATTAGATTCGTTGGTGCTAAGGTCGAGATGGAGATTATTATCTTGGCTCCAGTCGGTTTGGGAGAGGTTGTAGTCACTCATTGCATCTTCTTCACTTGCATAAAACTTCATTTTTGCCTGTGGTATTTGCTTTGTTTGTACCTAACAAAAAGATACTGAAGAAGATGTATCAATATGTAACAAGAGGAAACAACTCAATTTCGATCAACACAAAACAAAAAGAAAATAACTTTTTATGAAACCTTTTTTTAATCAAAATTTGAAACTGATAAATTGAAAAGAAAAAAAGAAAATATTTATTTTTTATTTTAGAATTTTATCCAAATTAAATTCGAAAGTTAATAGATAATTGAAAACAAATCCGAAAAACATTTTTTATGGAGTTTTTCTATATGAAAATTCTAAATAAATAGCAAACTCAAGCAAATAAATTTTTCTTTTGATTTTTATGGTTTAATAATACAAAAACAAGAACAAATGACAAGAAAATTGAAACAAAATAGAAAGAAAACGATTTTTATGGGTTTTCGTTTATATTAAAAAACAGAAACAAAGATTCTTGCAAATCGATAAATTTTTTTTTGTTTAATATATATGGAAAATAGAAACT